AAAAAAAAAAATAAAAAAAAAAAAAAAAAAAAAAAAGAATTATGGGAATGGGAACTTGAAAGTTTGTTGGTTGGGCTGAGAGAATGAGCTTCCTTCTAGGAAAGCCGCCAACAAAGGAAGATGAAGTCAAACAACAGACCAATCAGAAGCTGCCACTCCCACAAAACGACCAAACCCACCAAACATAAAAGCCTCGTTCATCTCCTTTCCAACATTTCTAAAACCTCCATTTCTTCCTCTGCTTGCCATATCCTAATCCCCCCTCTTCTTCCTCTTCGTTTACTGTTTCATTGGCTGTTTGAATCCCAAAATCACTCCAGAAATGAAGGAGAAAGGTTGCAGCGACCTCCCCCCTGGCTTCAGATTTCACCCAACTGACGAGGAATTGATCATGTTTTACCTCAGAAACCAAGCCACTTCCAAGCCATGTCCTGTCTCCATAATCCCCGAAGTTGATATCTACAAGTTCGATCCTTGGGATTTGCCTGGTTAGTTTCCACACCCTTTCCCTATATTTTATGTTATTTTGCTCATGTACTCAACTTTTAAATCAACTCTTGCAGAGAAGGCTGATTCAGGTGAAAATGAGTGGTACTTCTTCAGCCCAAGAGACCGAAAGTACCCGAACGGGGTTCGCCCGAATCGTGCGGCGGTGTCCGGGTACTGGAAGGCGACCGGGACGGACAAGGCGATATACAGTGCATCGAAGTATGTCGGAGTGAAGAAAGCTTTGGTTTTTTACAAAGGGAAGCCGCCAAAAGGTGTGAAGACTGATTGGATCATGCATGAGTATCGTTTGATTGAATCAAACAAGCGATCAGTCAAACAATCAGGGTCCATGAGAGTAAGTCTTCAAGAATCTGTTTTGGATCTTTGTTGAAAATCAGACACTAACATCAATGGGGTGTGTTTGTTTTGTGGGTGTTTCAGCTGGATGATTGGGTTCTATGTAGAATCTACAAGAAGAGGCATTCAAACAAGGGGTTATTAGAGGAAAAAACAGAGGAATTAGCAGCACAAAACGAGGTAGGAGAAGGCAATGGACAACAAATGATGAAATTTCCAAGGACTTTTTCCATAACCCATCTCTTGGATTTGGATTATTTGGGCCCCATTTCTCAGCTGTTCAATGATAATTCAAGTGCTAACCCAACTCTTGGGTTTCAAAGCACTGCAGCCCATACAAACGTCGGCAAAGTAGAGCAAGGGGCAACGCCATTCGACTACTCCTCTGCTACAGCAGATTTTAACCAAGCCTTCTTCCTCAATCCTGCTTACGATTGGAATGCCTTGAGCCGCTGAAAGAAGAACAAACAACAAACAACAAAACAAAACAAAAAAAAAAAAACAAACAAAAAAGCTCCCAAAATCAAACCCACCAAAGCAATAGATCCAATTAGTTCAGGAAAAAAATTGTGAATACTGTTTGTTTAAAAGCCACAGCTTCCATATAGATTGAATGTCAAGATATTCCGAGTAATTTGTTGTTTAAATCTTTTTTTTAGTTCAATCAGCTAGGTTCGTGATTCGAACCTTCGACCTCTATAGAATGGGTTTTAGAAGATTCGGAAGCTGTATACAATCAAATTAGGGTATGGCTGCTATCAAGAATATGTGGTTTTGTTTTTATATGTGTACGCCAATTCTTACACGAAACCCATCGGCATTCGACATGGTGTTGCTTATCCCAAACGACAAGTCGGCTAACAACAAAGAGACAGATAATCATAATTTTTTTTTTTTTTTTTTTCAAGGGTCAAAGAGGCGCGTGGAAAGCAATGAAGAATGAACTTGTATGAAAAATGGGATTTTTATTTTTTATTTTAGTTTTATAAAAAAAAAGTTGAAAATATAGCGGGAATACATCACAAGGTTGAATGGAATTAGTCACTTAATTATTAAATTATTGACTAATCATCGCCTAAACTAGTGGAATTTGAGTTTTATTTTTTTAAAAATATTCTAAACTGTGGGCTAAGTTAAGGAAACATGATTTAGCTTCTTGGTTAGTTTATTAATTAATTGTTGGATGGCACGAGCCACCATCGTATCTTTATATTTATATTTTATTTTATTTTATTTTATTATTTTGGAAGAATTCACAAACTTCCTTTGCTTTCAATCAATAACAATTGATATAAATTCTTTTGGACAAAATAGAAAAAAAATAAATTATATAAAATACACGTATTGTTTGATATGTTATGGTGGGAGGAAATGAGTTGGATAATGGCCAAATATAACGTCTCTTAGAACTAAGTTTGTAAATTCTAAGGGACAGAGAGTCGATCATAATTTAATATTAATTGAATGATACTAAGTTTGTGAGGTCCCCTCCAAATTAAGAACTAGGGGAGCGTTTACCTTTCCCTCAAATTTTATTAATTAACTTTTCATTTAGTGAAATTTGACTCTGAAAATGGTCCAACCCATATTTATTAGGATTTTATTTTGTTAAAGGCATTGAAAATATCTTAATTCATTTTAATAAACAATATAGAATAAATTTGAGCTGGAAAGAAGATTTAGCCTAATAAATGAATAAAAAATGAATAAAAAAATGGGAGTGCTCTCATAAAACCCACCTGGGCCCAAAATGAAGAAAGCCCAATAATCACAATGCGGCCCAAGAAGCAACGCCGATAACCCCGCGCTCTGATCTCATGCAATTGGCTTAACTTATAGGCTTTGTTTGGTTGGGACGTACAAACACTGTTCCATCAGACTGGATTTAGGCAGAGGAAGAGAAACAGTCTGTTTACGCCGGATTTGCTTTTGATCCGTCCTCGGATCCTCCGCTTCTAATATATTCATCGTTTCTTATTGCGATCTGATTTCCGGTAACGTAAGTCATTCATCGATGCCTTCTTCTGATTTTGGATCCTCTAATTCAACAACAATCTTCAATTGAATGAGTGACAAGTTTGTTAGATTTTGCTTGTATTGGCACTGTTCATTTGTTTCATTAGGTCTGTGGAAGCTAATTTCTATGTTAAATATCATTATCGCTTCTTGCTGGTGAAGTCCGCATTGGTTAGATTTAGCTCCATTAATGAATCGGATTAGTTTTGTTTAGATTGGGGGCAAGGATAATGGGTTGAAACTTTTGAATTCGGACTTCTTTTTGGGTTTGATTAAATTCGTGATTAAATTAGCTTTGGATCATTGTGGAAACTGTACGATTGACAGAGCGTCATAACTCAAAGATTTATTCCAATTTGAGGCACTTATTTTTTTTCTGTCAATAATGGTATGCAAGAGGCTTTCTCGTTGTTGTTTTCTCCTATGTTTCGTATTTGGTTGAAATAAATGACTTTATCATACCAATCGGTAAAGTCCGGCACCTAGACCAATTGCATCATTCCGGCTACTGGAAAGCATATCATTTGAATTCATTTTGACCCGAATGCATATCTTGAGGTGCTTCAGTAAAATTTTCTGGAAATGACAGCATTTTCGTTGGAAGCGCTCTCTGTCAAAGGGCACTTTACTTGGGAATGTTATTACAGTATTTGAGCGGTGACCGTGATTGCAGGGAAGTGATTTTTTATCAACCTTTTTGACTTATTTTATCGCTTGCGGTTATATACCCATCATTTTCACCTATAGTTTTTGTAACGAAGAGGGAACAATGTCTGAAAAGAATATCGAGGATCATTGTGAGAAATCTGAGGAAGAAATACAATGTCCAAATGAGAAAGAGAAGAATCCTATGCCTTCACAGCAGCAAGAGGTTAGTGCTGTTTCTGTATTTATGGTGTGCTCTTCTTGAATGAGACTGTCATTGGAGAATGAAATGTAATGTTAGTTATTTCCTGTTTTCTTAGTGTCATCAATGTCCATAGAACGAAACTTGTATGAAATTAGATAGACAGGAAAATCTCTGATTTTTGTGCCAAGATTTGGATTTGTGAGCAGCTTTTACTTGCCTTTGCATAAAGCTAACCTTAAAGGGGAAAAGATGAATGAAAATAGCCTTGATGAGGCAAGGGAAAAAAATGTTTCTTTTTCCTGTCTTGGTTCCTGTTCTTAACTGCATGTGTGTAAGTGCGAGAATTTGTCCCAACTTTCTAGAAACTGTTGGTCTTGTGGTGTCACTAAGGTTTGTGGGTTTTGTTTTAACAGTCTGATAATGGTTTTAAACAGGAGGAGATCATCAAGAAGAAGTACGGAGGAATTGTGCCAAAGAAGCCTCCTTTGATATCAAAAGTAATAATTAGTTATGTTTTAAGTTACTCTTGTGGGATAGTTAGTTTTGATCCAAGTCCTCTATGCTGACAACTGCAAATGTTCCTTTTGTCTAGGACCATGAACGTGCCTTCTTCGATTCTGCTGATTGGGCATTAGGGAAGGTGCTCATTTAGATTTTACTAGGACTTTAAACTGCTCATTGGATACTAAGATATAAATATGTGGACAACAACTTTTTTTTTTACGTTGATTGGGTGTCCCAAGTTTGATGCGATTGTCTTGCCTAAGTACTCCTTTGACTTCTGTAACAGCAAGGAGGAGCTCAAAAACCTAAAGGACCACTTGAAGCACTCAGGCCAAAGTTGCAGGTGCATGAAGTTTAATAATAGTGGGGTATCTCTGTCTGTTCATTATATTTGTACGTAATTTTTAAATGTATAGATTGGTAAACTTTTGCTCTTTAGTAATAGTCTAGTAGCTACTTACCAACAGTGAATCGACCTACTTGCTAAGATGCACCAATTTTTTTTAATGTGAGGTTAATTGGTCTTCCAGAAAACCAACTTGGAACTTTAGTAAGATAATAATTAATATACTCTCACTTCTTACCATAGCTGGATTTTCTCTTCCAACTATATCTTTCCTCTTACAAACTATCTTTCCTGTATGTGATTTGAACAACCACCTGGAATCTCGGTTGGAGATTTGATTTGGTTAGAAGTTATTACCTACAGCTTATTAGGTCTTTGTTTAAAATTGTCGAGGTTTGCTTCAAATCTTCGTTTGAGACTTGTTAAGCCCCTCGTCCTGGGCATGTACTTTTCCTTCTTTTGTAGAGAAAGGAATGAAAAATAAAGCATCGGTTCACACGGAATGTGTGTACTTCACTGTGTTCATATGTTGTGGTTGTGTTGTTTGTAATATTTGCTGACGTTTTTATTACCATTTTGTCATAATCAGCCAAATCCACAGCAGCAAGTCCGTTCAAGGCGCTCTGCTTATGCTCCTTCCGATGGTGGTGAAGGTATGAGCCACAGATTCTCCTTTTTACTGCCTAGGCTTCTGATTTACAACAGAAAATGATAAATGCGGCGTCCATTTTCCTGTACTCGATAGGGAATGAAGGCAATATCGACCTTGCTGCAGAGGATCGACAATCCACAATAGAAAGTGGCTGCAATGACCACGTTTCTGAGGTTAAAGTGTGCAAGGAATAGCTATCTGGACGAAACAACTTGATCCTCTTAGACCGAGCTGCATTCTGAAGTCCTTGAATGATATCGGCCAATAAGTGAAACATGCTGAGTTTTAAGCTTCACTTGTTATGATTGATCATGCAATGTGGGACGATGTAATGCTTTCTATGCTTTAAAGGTTATGAATTCAATCCTTATATTGCATTCGAGAATTATTTAGTCTTTTATAACTGGCTCTTTCTGACCCAAATGCATTCAATACATATATTATGCAGTAAATATATTAGCAGAATTTATACCCACCAGGTTTTCCTGTTCTGCATTTCTTGCTCGTTCTACCTATTTGACGTACTAATATGAGAGTAAGTTCATCGTAATCCATCACTATAAGCTTTTGGGTTCGGTACTGATTATCAAATTGAAGCAACATGATCCTTTACCCCCTGTCCACCGAGTTCAGCCATCTTCCCCAAAAGCAATACTTCCCAACAAGCGACACCTAAACCACCACTCACACTGTGCGCACCAGTGCAGTCCGGAAGCGCCAATGGAGAGCAATCTAAAGATAGTGCCACCATAACAGTTCCCGTTTATGACCTTCAATGGCTTTTGCTAATTCATCCTCTGATTACGCTGTGCGTAACTTCTTTCGAAGCAGACTGAAGACTGATGGGTTTTTCTCCCTAGATCAATACTCACATTTTACCTAAAAAAGACCCACATGATTAAGTTATTAGTTTTGTTGTGAATTGGCTGTTTAGAACAGTGTTCATCCTCCTAAGCCAGATTAGTACGAGGATTTCTATGGCATGAAATCGTATGATTCTGAGGTTAGCTTTCTTTTTATCTCTAGTGCTTTACTTCTACCTCCGTAACCACTGTGTGTCAAATTATTATGGATTTTTGTATATTTCGCCTTCAATCTTCTATGTTTAGTCGTTAAGTTGGCCTGTGGACCTCTGATTTTGGTTATTTGATGCTGTTCAGGTCTTCCCATTGTCCTTCTCATCATCATGTATTTGCTTTTTAAGTGTACGATCTTTACCTGATTCAGCTATTTCCAGCACCTCATAACTTCATCATGTGTTCGTTAAATGTGCCTATCCGCCTTCCTACGGTTGGATTGATGTGACTGTAACTTATTATGTTAACTTCATCATGTGTTCGTTAAATGTACATTTTCCTTTTGGCCCGCGACAGATGTACTGAGTTTTGTATCATCTCCTTGGTGCAATGGTTACCATAAATCTAGCACATTATAAATTGTTTTCATTGAACTTTGCAGGGTACCTCCGAAAATCCGGATTGTGGGAGCTCTACTTTCTCATATTCAGAGAGTAGCCAAACAGAACCCACAGCCAAGTTATGCTCATCCTCTAATTGGAACTGCACGAGTTGTTGTTCTTTCATGCCCAAACCCATTCAACCTTTAGGCATTCCTATACAAATTTCCTCTGGAGAAGCTTTTGAATCTACTAATTTGGTGCACAGAGTTTGATTCTCCTACTCTCCAAAGAGACACCCAACAATGGTGCAGTGCATGTAGCAGCATTGATTTTGCTGATGTGTCCGAGCCACTCAAATCAGTCTTTTAGAGTATCATGCACAGCTCAAATCCACCTCTAGCATGAAGTTTTTCCTTTCGATATTTTCCTCAAGATTTTTAATACGCGTGTTCTAGGGAGAGGTTTCTATGTTTTTCTTCCATCGATGTGGGATCTCACAAATGAATTCAAATATGGGTTATGTGAAAGATATCTTTCACAAAAATCGCTATGGAATCGACTCAAAATCGTGAGCAGTACTGATATACATGTCATTGTTTTTCATGCTAAATGCTTGAGTCAGACTACTCAAAAGACACGTACGAGTGACCTATCTATCGTTCCCGCTTTGAGATGGAGGCATGTGAATTCCCTCCCAAGGCCTAGACCCTGGACCAGCAAGGACGGACCACCAAGGCCATGGGGTTGTGCTTGAAGGGGCCTTACATGCACCTCCACAAAATATAATCCTTTTTGTTACCCAAAATTGTGTGAAGACCTCGGAAATTCCAGCAAGGAATTCCCATCAAAGTTAACAAAAAGTGGCTCAAATTCTTCAAAATTGTTGAGTGCAAGACGACTTGACAAAGAATTTGTGGCTGTTCATGAACTTCAGCCGGACCCAGTATGAAACAATGATTGAACTATGCGTAAAACACTCATGAAAAGGAAATTCCAAGAACTTTTCTTTTCAGAATCTTCTTCATCATCTTCTCTTGTGACTTTGTTTATTCATTCCAAAATTTTCAGCTGGGAAAGTTTTAGCTTTCTGATTCATCCATTGATGAATAATAGTTGAGTTGTGGGCAATGCATGATGAACATGAACAACTCATACTTTCATTTTTGTGATGAACACCAGCAGATGATGAAGAACATTCAAATGAATTCCGGTTGCACCACGAAGAATCTGAGCCATAAAATTTAAAATTATCTTGTTTTCTAAATTATCATCTTACAGATAATTTTTTTTTTTCAAAACCATGAGAACCATAAGCTTATGATTACGATAGCGAGCCTCTGAACTTGACATATCAGAAGAAGATCAAATAGAAAGAATAAAGAATCTTACAGAAAGTATACAAATGTGGGGATCAATTTCATCAACTTCAATTCAATACTTCAACAACAAATATTACATTTTTTATTTATAAATTTTCCTAAACCCATAAATTTCAACGCAAAGATTAGAACAACGATGGTAACTAAATCTTTAGATGATTCGATAAAATAAAAAATTCAAGGATGATAAACGTTATTAATGGTCGATTTGAAATTTTTGTATATATTATTTTAAAAAATTCTGGATATGATATAGATTTTTTTAAAATTAATTATATATTTTTTGAAGGATGGTAATAGAAATAATTGATACTATTTCTCCGGAGAAAGGGGATAATCTCCGGAAGCAGCCAAAAATGGAAGAAAATAATAATACTAATAATAATCATTAGAAAAAAAAAAAAAAAAAAATGAAGGTGGGGCTTTTTAGGGTTAGCAAATGGGGTAAAGCCATGATGTTTGTTAACAATTGGAGAAGATTAAAAATGATAGTGACAAAGGATTGGATTTGTGTTGCCCACTACACATGCTTCCCTCCTTTACTCCAACGTCATTTTCCCTATTAAAAAAAAAAATAATAAAAAAAAGGTACGATATGGTTGATTAAAGCTGGATTCACGGGACTTTGTAATTCTTTGTTTCTCGTTTTAAATCGTTATTCAAACTTTACTTTTAAGATTATAGTTTTTTTTTCGTACGTTTAGGTGGAAATAGACACCTGAAAATTTTGAAATAAACGTAAAATTTAGTTATTTAAAAGAATGTTTCCCTATAAAAACGTAACATCCTTAGAAAAGAATGCTCGTTGAGATTAGATTAGGACAAGAAATAATATTGGCTTCCACCAAGCAAGAAAATAAGGTCGAGACGCCTGCTTATTGTGGGAACTAGAAGGGCAAGGGCCCCTCCTCCAATTCAAATTAGTCTAAATCTTGGTAAGTGTTTGCCATTCATACAAGCTACTTTAAGTTGGTCTTAGCTTATCCCAATTCAACACAACAGTCTCTTATAAAAACGATTGAATCAAGTTGGTTCGGTTTGTTTGAAGTGTGCTGTAAAATCGAAAGAAGAATTTAGATAAATTTGGTTGATTTTAGTTAGTTTGGTTCGGTTTTGATGGGTCAGTTGGGTTTACTTTCAGCAAAGCATGTCGGGTTTCGGTTCAATGTAATTCGCCATAAATGTTTGTATTTTAAAATTTAGGGTTTGAAAAAGGATATGGTTAGGTTAGGTTTATTTGAAAAGAAATGGAAGTGGGGGGTTTTTGGGTGAGTGGCTTACAGCATCATTGATTATATACACTTTTATTTCCTTTACCTTTTGGAATATATACCAAAGAATTTGACAGTTTGTTTATGTACCCTTTCTTTAATTTTTCATTTTTTAATATGTTTTAATGCTTTTTTTTTTTTCAAATAGATTTTTCCATTCAATTTTAAGATAAATTATATTTTCGAGAACCCAAGCCTCATATACATTTTTCACCCGACTTTATGGTTTAGTTGAGGTTTCTCTTCGCCAAATAAATATCATTACTGCGAAATCTAAGCTTGTTTGACCATACATGCCGTTTGCGCATGCATGTTGAATCATCTACAACATAATCGATTTGTCACTAGGTTAAGGTCTCTCAATGCAACATCACATCCTATCATCTCATCTTGGTTCCCAATTGACATGACCCATATGTCATTCCAGCTCACTTGGTCATGTTATTAAGAACGGGTACATGTCAGTTTTTGTAAGTATAGAAAAATTTCTTAAATATGATTTTAGATAGTTAGTTATCATGTTTTGCCAAACATATTTTTGAGATATATCAACGAAATACATATATTAAATCATATATATCATTAGTATATCTATGGTAGATTCAATCTGAGGCTATTAGTTAGAGAGATGATCTTAAACTGACGCATATATATTAACATTTATAATCAAATATGTTAATGCTATTGGTTAAGACACATTTTTATATTAAAAAAGAGATATTTCATAATAAAATATCTAAATAATATTGATTCAAAATTTAATTTTTGATATTACATCTCACTAATAATTTAATAGGGCATTTTGCTCTTTCAACCCATAATAATGTTGTCTTTTTGTCTTTCAAAATTAATAAAAAGATTGTCGGGAATATTCATTTGTTATCCATTGACTACACGTTTCGACTTGACTCAAGTTTCACTGATTCACTTTTATTAGACAATTTTTATGAACGAACCCTTAGATTTCAAAGTATCGATTTTTTAATAGTGTTTGTATTACGTTCTTAATTCCACTTCGTTTATCTCTACTAACTTGCGCTATGTTTGAAGAGAAGTAAAGAAAAGTAATATATTAACCTAACAAAAATACCATTTATTAAAAAATTTAAAATTTAATGAAAAAATATTTAAATTTTATTATCAAAAAGAAAAAATGATTTTTATTAGTTAATAACGTACTTAAAAGTACGGTTGGGTGAAATATAGGGTAGCGATTGGGTGAAGCTCTAAATTAATTACATTATTATTATTTTATTCATGTACAGTTTGACTTTTCAACCCACCACCACAAATTAAGTACGTTTTTTTTTTTCACCATATTTATTTTCAGACTCATTGATTTGAGCTTCGGTCGCCGGCTCCCTTGTCATCAGGTCACCAATTTTCTTGACCTTCCGATACTGTGCAGGCATCAGCCCCCATACATGGTCTTACGACTTTGCGGAAACCTGTGTTTTTGGTAAACAGTCGTCCGAACTTGGTCATTGCGACCCCCTTTGTGAGGAGGCACCCCTTCTCCTGAAGTTACGAGGCTATTTTGCCGAGTTCCTTAGAGAGAGTTGTCTCGCGCTCCTAGGTATTCTCTACCTATCCACCTGTGTCGGTTCGAGTACAGATACCCTTTTGTTGAAGGTCGTTCGAGCTTAATTATTTTCTACTCATTGCATAGAGGTACTTTATGTCCTTGAACCAACCACCATCTTTGGACTAAAAAGTTGACACATCAAATTGGAGTGCAAGGCCTACAGAACTTCTTGGAACAACTCGGGTAATTACCAAAACAAATAAAAGAAAAAAAAGATAAATGTCGAGAAGTTGACATTTCATAAATGTTATCGCTCATGATCTATGACTTTTATTTATCATTAAAAACTATATTGTAATTAAAATACGGTCTATTTTAGTAGAGTTAATCTAATTAGTAAACGACGATCCGTATATAGAGTGTAATAAGATAGCCACCTTGGAGCTTGGGAAAACGACACCCTTATAAAATAATACCACATTTGTCGGCACCATAAAGTTTCCTTCTAGCAATTTCTTTCTTAAAACAATAAAAATTTAAAATAAATAAATAAATAAATAAATAAATAATAAACCCTTCAACTTACAGGCACAGGACTACAACTAATTTAATTAGCTAGCTGCTCACTATTACTCCTTTTGCTTCTCTGTCTTCAACAATAATTACAATAAATAATAATTAATAATTACTTTAAAAAAAAAAAAAAAAAAAAAAAAAACATTATGGTAGTTGGTTGGTTGAGCTACCTACCTAAAATCCACCACCTAAAATTACTCCAAATATTCGCATTTTCGGACTTCTTTTTTTTCTGAAATTTTAAGAAACATTAGTGTGAAATATGTTAATTGAGATGGAAATGTTTTTTTTTATTTATTTATTTTAAATATTATAATTCAATAAAAATAAACAAAGCATGTGAATTAAGAAGTGAAAAGGAAGAAGTCAAATCAAGAAAGTTGACCAGATTTTATTTTTTATTTTTTATTTATTTTCTTCCACTTAGAAAATATGATTAGTGGTTACAAAAAGGAGTTTACTTTCGCAGCATTCTTCTCTGTTCTTAGTGATAGAAAAGAAAAAGTGCATGTGAATTTTGCTTTTGCAATTTAGTGTCACATTGGGATATGATATGGGGAGACATCAATTTACCAAATCTTTACAAATATATCTTATTTTCCACATTTCACTTTCATCGTTCGTAGGGTCAGTTTGGGTCTAACTCAACGTTCATACTCGACTTTACCGTAAGTCTAACCACTCTAAAATACTATTTGGACCAGACTTGAATGGATGCAATCTTTAATAGACTCAAACTTTGAACTTTTAAATTTTAGCCTATTTGATATTTGATAAGATGAGTGATATTATAAAGTTTTATTTAGTATATTCATTTTTTTATTAACCATAAACTATAGTATTTAAATTATATAAATATATTTCATATTTGAGTTGATTCAAAGATAAACGAATTAAGTAGGTTAGACAAGTGTACTAAATATGATGTCAATGAGTAAATCTAGGAGCCAACCTAGTCTTAAAACATAGGACCAATATCCAATCCAAGCAAGATTGGACTGAGTTAGATTGGTCAAATTTTAACTTTAAGCCGAATTTAGATCAATCCTAGACTAGATTTAGTTTGACCCTCGAATATTAAATGGGATGATAAGGTTGACCAACACTAATAGTTAAAGACCCTACAAAAATTAGAACTAAAAAAGAAAATTCATGTGGTTAACATATAAGACTATCTTTCTAGTTCAGGATTATATTCGAAAAAGAGAATAATGGTTGAAGTAAACATATTACCCGTGTAGAACAAAGTGAGTAAGTTAAGAAAAAAAACTTAAAAGGCGTTTGGAAGACAAGTTGGATTCGACTTGGAACATGAAGTCAAAAACCCTGCATGTGCACTTAGCTTCGTTCCCGAATTTACGAGTATTAATTATTTTATTGAATTCAATGAAGTTGGATAGAATGGATTCAATTTTGTACGTATTTGACTAAGAATTATTATATTGGTTGGACTTTGGGTAATTGACCAGAAAAAAAAAAAAAAAAAAATTAAAAAAAAAAAACAAATGGGAGACACAGTGGCGCAAATCACGGTTGAGTTTAGGGAAGAATCTTTCTAATTAGGAACTCACTGTCCATGCAGATCTTAATTTTGGTTAGCATTAATCAATAATTTAATAATAATGTAACAAAATCGGTCACACGTGGGGGAATTAATTAGAAGTATTAGGCACGTGTGAAACCCGTTCTTGTTTTCCCCTCCATAATTTCCCTACCTAATTTAATCTTCAACGTTATTTTTCTTCAAAGGACAAGACAAAATTGCAGTAATCAATGCACCTTTCTTGGTAGTCGAAATTGAAGACTTTTAATTTTATTTATTTTAAATTTTGAAGCAGAAACAAGAGTTCTTGGTGTGAACTAACTCCCTGCCAGTTATCAAAATGGCAGGAAGGTGTGAAAAGAAAAAAAAAATAAAAAAAAAATCAAAATTAATAAAAATTGGAACTTTTACGTTATTATTATTATTATTTTTTAAAAACTTTTAATATATGTTATAAGTTATTATTTATATATCATGAATGGTTTCATAAGCTTAATGGATTATATAATATTAATATTTTATATTTTGTATATGGAGAACCATACGTAAATAAACTTTAAAAAAAATAAAAATAAAAAATGAAAATGAATGTGGAGAATTATTTGGTCTATTTGATTTAAATTCATTAAGGATGGGGCTCACCAGTTGGACATTGGAAGGTTGGCATAAGACAGCTAAAAATGTCATCACCCACGTGCTCTCCAATATTTGCTTTTTATTATCATTATTATTATTATTATTATTATTATTATTATTTTTAAATTTGATACTATTTCAATATTATGTTGAGTCACATTGTCTAGCGATGGACCCTCTAACCAAACAATATACTTCCAACACTATGTGGACTCCTCTTTTTTTTTTTTTTTCTTTTTCAAATCAATTTAAGTAAACATTTAATCTTCATTTTTTCTTTGTTTATTAATGTGAAGTCCCACCTCGGTCAGAGAAGGAAACGAAATAATCCTTATAAAAGTGTGGAAGTTTCTCTATAGCAGACGCATTTTAAAACTGTAACATTGACGGTGATACGTAACAAGCCGAATGTTACAAAGGATTGCAGAGCCAGCACAAGGCAGTATGCCAACGCCCCCAAAGGAAGTGGATTGTGAGATTCTACATCATTTGAAGAGGAGAATGAAATTTTTTCTTAACAAACCGATTGAATACGTACTAATCCTCGTTGTATG